CGACCCTCCACTAATCAAGGAAGCGGTGGGTGAGAGTGGACACCCATTCAACTACCATTTTATAGGCAGTTTCCTTATACCCCCCTATAGACTAGCTTCGTGAATGAGGCATACTAGCGATTTGACTGACCATATTCTTATACATATATAATATTTAACTTTTAATTATAATATATATAAGGTGTGTTTTAAACTTTTTAAAACTTTAGGGTTTATATATAAATTTCGAAAATTAAGCCATTAATTTTAAATTTAAAAATAAACCAAATAACTAGATTTAATATTTATCTATTAATTAACTTTTAACTAATTTATTAAATCTTGTAAGGATTATCTAATTAAATTAAACAATTAATTTAATCCTAATCCATATCCCTTCTAGATTTCGAAAATATGGGGATAGGATAATTTCCTTATTTTTCTCAATTATCCAATAAGGCAACAATTATCCCAAAACAAGAAACCATAAAATTACCATGTAAATTTCTAAAATCAAGGGAGGAGGCTAGGGTTTCCAAAACCCTAACCCTAATTTCGATTAGGGTTCATGGAGGCTAGGGTTTTTCGAAAACCCTTTGAACCAAAACCCTAAAAAAACGAAAATTTTGGCCTTTAGGGTTTAATAACTATAAACCCTAATTTGCAATTCAACTATTATAGCAATTCAATTTAAAACAAACAATGGCTCTGATACCACTGATGGGTTTTAGGTGAAACAAATAAACTAGAAAAGAATTCCTAAGTTCACATGCAACCTACATTGGATCTATGTTTTAACTATTGAACATATAACTTTGAATTGCAAAACAAGAACCCTAGAGGAGAGAGGCTATTTTTGAAATTAACAAACTAGGGTTTTAGAATTACATACCTTTCAATTGTTATAGCAAACAATTGTTAATCCTCTTGAACTTGATCTTCTTAGAAGCCTAGCACCACAAATGTAATGCCTCTAATGGAGTCACACCCAAAAGCTAGCAAGAAGGAAACTTGAAGGATAGAGAGTAGGGTATGCAAAAATCGGCCCTAGGGTTTCACAAGGGAAGGAGTGGCCGAATTTAGGAGTTGGGAGGCTCCTTATATAGCTGAGGGATCTAGGGTTTAGGGAAAACCCTTATACTCCTTTGCTTGGGGCCTAAGCTAATCCAAAGGCCTTATCCAAGCCCCTTTGGACGAAATCCTTAGGGTTTCCCCTATAGATTTCGTCCACCTCCTTCCAAGGAGGTTCTGGAGCCTTGCACTCAACTATTTGATAATTGCAAACTAGTCCCTGCACTTTATAATTAATACAATTAACCCCAAAATTAATTCTGATTAATTTCTGGCTAACTATTAATTAAACCTTATGATTTCTAATTAATATATTAATCTTTTAACATATTAATAAATCATTTATATTAATTTATTAATCTTATAATAAATCAATATCTCTCCTTTCATAATTTCCTTGTCCAGTTGCTAGGTTTGAGGGCAACCCAAAAGAACTGTGCTGTTATCAATTCAAGTACATACCAATTATAGTTATGGGCTTAGACACCTAATCCAACAAACAAGAGGTTAATTGAAGAACCAGAGGCAATCGTTGACCGAAAGACAAAGAAGTTACGACGCAAGATGGTCGAATTAGTGCTTGTCCGATGGAAACATACGAATGAGCCAAATCTCACCTGGGAAACGGAGAGTGACATGATGAGTCGCTATCCGCATTTGTTTGTTGATGTGTGATTCTGGGGATAGAATCATCCTAAGGAGGAGAGAATTGTAACGCCCGTGTTTCTAGGCTAGGCATTAATGATGGTGTAACAGTCTAGGTTAACCTTTGTAACTCGTTTTGAAATAATAAGAATGTATTATTTGAGTATTATGTGTTTATTGCTTAATTGTGTGATTTAAATGAATTAAGGATAAAAATAAGCGATAAAGTAAAATATTAGATAAGCCCGATATCTCTGAAGGAAGTTGTAGTGGTCTTGGCAAGGTTTCCGAATATATAAAGAATGCCGAAATCCGAGTTATAACGAAGAAGTTATGACATGTCGAAGTTTCGCGACAGAACCGATACGACACTCCATGACGTAAATAGTGAATTTACGATAGAGCGATATTTAGCCTTAGTGATCTAAACGAAAGTCGTAGAATAAGTTAAACCGAGAGCGTGCATAAGAAGAACGTCTAAATCTGACTTCGTATGAGGAAGTTATGATTTTTCGAAGTTTCGACTTAGCGGTATGCAGCCCAAAGTTCGAATATGAGATCGAGTGGTTTCTAGCCGAAACAATCTAAACGAGAATCGAAGATCTCGTCGATAATAGTCCAACGGTAAAAAGACAGATGAAAACGGACGTCAGATAAAGGAGTTATGAATTTCTAACGGAGTTTTCCTGTCCCAGCCTACTAAAAATAATATAATAAAAGTTAAAATCAAAATTAGCCGACGGAGTCTAAACGAGAGTTGTAGAGCATAATCTCACCTACGTGTGGATATAAAGAACGTTGAAAACGGAGCTTGTATGCGAAAGATATGAATTTCTGAAGTTCGGGGCACAAACTTCAACCCCCCGTGTCAGAGCTCACGACGTGAGCACAGTGGCTCACGACGTGAGCAGATGATGGACATCTTCCAGGGCAAGTGGCCTGATGACGAATGCCATGACATCGAGCTCACGACGTGAGCATTAGTGGCTCACGACGTGAGCATAGATTTTCAGCCTCCTATAAATAGAAAGCAAGGCCAACCGAGTTTTGTTGCTCAATTTCTTTCCTCTCACCCGTATTACCTCGATTTACGTGCAAGTTATACCTCGAAGCCCCGGTATCATCCCGAGACCCGAAGCGAGTCCCGAAGCTCCGAAGATTTCAAGAAGAAAAGAGTTTCCGAGCCGAAGCTCTGCCCGCGAGAAGCCCGGTGTGTGAAGAGATCACAGTTTCACCGAAGAATACTGCTTTAAGAGCCGTAGTGCTGTCCGAGCATCGTCTTATCAAGTGAGTGCATAGTCCCTTTCATATACACAATTTTAATACAAGTATTGATGAACGTATTCGATATATGATATGAGTAAGTGTGTAGTTGCTTTCTATAGTACACATATATGAATTATACTCTATGAAATACGTGCTATGTGATTATATACTATTTGTTATGTGGTATGAGTATTGAATGAATATGTTATACAGGTTTTAAGCTGTATATAAACAAGTATATTTTATCTACAAATATGCTGGGTAGAACATGGGTAGATAGTGATGTGTGATGAAATAAAAATGATGAGAGGCCTTGATGTTGTTGTTGATCTAGTCATCTAGCGGAGTATGGATGACGACCACAAACTCTTTCTAGACTGTCCAGTGGAACGCTGGCAGGTTCATAACTTGTAGGTGTTGTGAACGATGTGTTCACCGGTGTACTCTATCCCCCTCATGGTTGCCTTTAGGACATCTATTGTTGAGGAAACTCCTCTGCAGTAATGTCCATCCCGATGAAAAATCCTAGACTAGGTCCCTTGTGATAGTTGTTGTTTTAGGGACGTAAAGTGAGGATAACGGGAATGGGTAATCGGGTTATTGTTGGTTGGTGAAATTAATTATAATTATTTATTGTGGGTTGAAAACCCTGTATGCTCACCAGGCTCCCAAGCCTGACCCACTCAGTTTTATTTGTATTACAGGTAGTGGCGCGAGAGCATAAGATGGATGAATCATCGAAATATTTTGTTTATAGGCTTATAATGTGCCGTTTATGCTTTTGGTCTGTATCGGAACATGACATCCCGAGTTTTGTTATATATGAAAATACATTTCTTTAAGAAATGCTTTGATAAATTTTATCTTATCATATTTTGTTTTGGGAACAAATTCCGCAACCCTTTTTAATCAAATGATTACTCTGAAACTATTTTAAAAAACATAAATTAAATAGGTCTTTTTTTGCCGCGATTTTGGGGATGTCACATGACATCCAACACATATAGTCTCCATAGTGCCTTCATTGTCTGGTGAGATACAAAAGCTCTAATTCCTGTAGCGATCCAAGCGACGATGGAATCTCACCGGAAAATTGATTACCTGAGAGACCAATTCCGAAAGTGATCTATAAGATCGAAAATATCCGATGGGATCCCCCGCTGAAACGGTTATCACTAAGGTGGAGCTTTTTTACCATTCCACACCATCATCAGCCACTGCCTGTCATAACCTTCACTATCTTCCGTATATGATAATCTCTACTCCCTAGTCTTCATCTCACCATCACAGACCTGCAACTTGAGAACCAGAAGGAACAATAGGGAAATCAATACCCATTACAAAATCGAATCTCAAGGAAATCAGCCCCTGTCACTATCACATAACTGCAACTTGAGACCTATTCATCAATTTTAAAGAAGAAAGAGAAATCAGATCTCCATCATGTCCCCGATATGTATTTAACTTCATAATCGATTTCTCTAATTTTAATGAAACAGAAACACAAGGATGGCTTGTTGTAGCAATCACTTACTCTGATAGTGAAGTAGAAATGAAATACCGAAAAGTTAGGGTTTCGATTCAAACTAGAAGCGATAATGATGTCGACACTAATGGAGTAGGTTTTGTTAGAACAAACAAGATTAAAGTTCAGATTTAAAAATATAGTGGTCTTTTTTTGAAAAAAAATCATACATGAGTTTTCTTTTCCAACTGCACACAGTATGTTAATGATGGATGGGTGTAGAGAGAGAGAGAGAGAGAGAGAGAGAGAGAGAGAGAGAGAGAGAGAGAGAGAGAGAGAGAGAGAGAGAGAGAGAGAGAGAGAGAGAGAGAGAGAGAGAGAGATTTTATTAGTTTTTTTAAATAGATTTAAATAAACAAACTTAAAAATATATTAAAAATGTATATAAGTCTTGAGTGATGAATTATTTGTTAAATTTTTTGAAACTATAAGGACTATCTACGAAGTTTCTTAAACTTAAAGGCTATATCTCATATTTCTAAAAACTACATGGACTATTTATGAAGTTTTGTCTTGAATATATTTCATTTTTCTTCCAAAGAAACACATTTAATAATTTGAAATTGGAATTGATTTGACAAATAATAGTCAAATATCATTAAAGAGGGAAAGGTTTCGTAGGTAAATGAAGGTTTCATATTTATATATTTGGATGGTGAAAGGTGTTTAATAGCGAAATACGCATATGCAGTTTGAGTGATTGACTCGTGTAGAGAGAGACAAGGAACACGAACAGCCCAATTCAACAGATCTTCCCCACCTTGAAAACAAGTCATCAATCAGTAAGTAAGTTACAGAGTTCCTCTTTTAGATCTTCAATCACACTTGTTTCAAAAGAACAAATTAAAGCTTCTTGTTTTATTCTCCACTGTTTCCTTCAACCCTTTTGTTTTTGTTCATGTTTGACCGATATAAGTTTGAGGGCTTTATTGGTTATGATTGCTGCCCCTGCTTTGTTGGGCAAAAAAGGGAAAAAGCTAGGGTTCTTCTAATCAACCACTGCATCTTTACCAAAACCCCAATTATTTTTCTTCATTTATTGCTGCTGGAAGCCTGAAATCCAGTCTGTCTTTCACCAAATCATTGGATTTTCACCAAATCATTGGATTTGATTCGTTTTGTTTTTCAGGGTGTGTTTGAAAGGAAACTAGCTCGGAATGTCATGAGAAATGAGGGTTAGGGTTTTTAAAGTTTGGGATAGATGGGGTGTGTGCTTGGAAGAGAGATTGCGTCTTCTGGACCACCAAGTTCTGAAATCGTAGTAGAGAAGAGGCGAGAGAAAGATAGGGATTCAAATGGTCAGTCCGGAAGGAGAGAGAGAGCTTCTGCTGCAAATCCCGACACCAGCAACAATGGCGGAGGTGGTGGTGGTGGAGAGCCACAAAATGGGGTTTCTCAAAAGGTGGAAAAAGAGGCGAATGTGAGGCCGAGAGGAGAGAGAAGACGCTCAAAGCCTAATCCTAGACTGAGTAATCCACCCAAGAACATCCATGGCGAACAGGTGGCTGCTGGGTGGCCTGCTTGGTTGTCTGCTGTTGCCGGAGAAGCCATTAATGGTTGGATTCCTAGAAGGGCTGATACTTTTGAGAAAATTGACAAGGTAAGTAGCTATTAATTTTCAATTTCGTTTATCACAATTTCTTGATATTACAAATTCTCTAAAACTTGATATGAAAATCTGATAGATTGGGCAAGGCACATACAGCAACGTGTACAAAGCTAAAGATACAATGACAGGAAAAATAGTTGCATTAAAGAAAGTTCGATTTGACAATTTGGAGCCTGAAAGTGTGAAGTTTATGGCTAGAGAGATTTTGATATTAAGGCGTTTAGATCATCCAAATGTTGTGAAATTGGAAGGATTGGTGACATCAAGAATGTCTTGTAGTTTGTATCTTGTTTTTGAGTACATGGAGCATGATTTAGCTGGACTTGCTGCTAGCCCTACAATCAAATTCACAGAACCCCAGGTTTAGATTTTTATGAAACTTGGTTACTACAAATTATCATATCATTGGGTTTGGGGTATTTAATTTTGTTTGTGAATGTTTTTTTTAGGTGAAATGCTACATGCATCAACTGTTATCTGGGCTTGAACATTGTCATAATCGACATGTGTTACATCGTGATATTAAGGGGTCGAATCTTCTTCTTGATAATGGAGGAAGTTTAAAGATTGCTGATTTTGGTCTTGCATCCTTTTTTGATCCTAATCACAAACAACCAATGACTAGTAGAGTTGTTACATTATGGTATAGGCCACCTGAGCTTCTTTTAGGGGCAACTGATTATGGTGTAGGAGTGGACTTATGGAGTGCAGGGTGCATTTTAGCAGAGTTATTGGCCGGAAAGCCTATCATGCCTGGTCGTACAGAGGTAACTAAATTTATATTCCATCATCATGTTTCAAGAAAATTGCATTTATGGTCCCTGAGTATAGCTGGTTTTTGCAATTTTGGTCCCAAAAAAAAGTTTATTTTTGTCCTTATCTTGTAATGTTTTTGGTCTATATTCCAAGTAAAATGACTATTTTTATTTTGTGAGTATATTTGTTTTTTGCAATTTTGGTTCCAAAAAAGTGTTTTCTTGCCTTTTTGGTTCTTATTTGTGGTTCTTGTAATGTTTTTGCATTTTTTGTCTTTATTTGAGGTTCTCGTGATGTTTTTGCTGTTTTTGTCTCTATTTAAGGTTCTTGAAGTGTTTTTGCAGTTTTTGTCTATTTAAGATTCTTGTAGTGTTTTTGCAGTTTTGGTCTTTTTCTGAAGTTCCTGATATGTTTTTGGTCTCTGTTCTAAGTAAAAAGATTATTTTTGGTCCTTGAGTATTGCTGATTTTTGCAATTTTGGTCCCAAATGTGGAGTCATTTTACTTTGAACAGGGAACAAAAATGTTACAAAAACCTCAAATAAGGGACCAAAATTGCAACTGCACTTTTTGGGACTAATATTGAAAAAATTAGTTATACCCATGGACCAAAAATGAAATATACTCTTCTTATATTGGCTTTATATATAGAAGCATGTTCACTAAAGAACTAGTTTTCATGAGAGAACTACATAATTCAATCTTGACCCTTCGATGAAAACAATAAAAGGAATGGTTATATATATATATATATATATATATATATATATATATATGTTATATGTGTGTATTTAACTTTATTGTATACATTATGTATATATATAAGTAGTGAAGTTTTTGGTTAACAAAATTATAAAATTAGACATAGTTAAAGCTTATTAAGATCAAAATAAGATTATAATATAAGTATACCTTCTAGTTAATTTTTGAAAATAATATAATAATTTTTTTTGTCATATTACTTGTTGCAGGTAGAGCAGCTTCACAAGATTTTCAAGTTATGTGGGTCCCCTTCTGATGAATATTGGAAAAGGTCAAAGTTGCCACATGCAACTATTTTTAAGCCCCAACAGTCATATAAAAGATGCATTGCTGAAACTTTTAAAAATTTCCCACCTTCATCACTCCCTTTGATTGATACCCTTATTGCAATTGATCCTGCTGAACGTCAAAATGCAACAGCTGCTTTGAGAAGTGAAGTCAGTATACATATTTACATTTTTTTTTTCCTCCTTTCTATTTAGTATAAATGATATTTTAAAAAAAAATATTTGATATAATGATGTCCCACTTGGGAAAATGGAAGAGAGTAATTGAGGACCATTTAAACTGTTTGACAATTGAGATATTTATATCTATCAGTTTTACCCTTATAAATTGTTCAAATATTTTTAGATTTTTTACATATCATCATCTAAATAAAAGAATGGAATTTTTGAAAAGCTAATGTTCTTGTATTTTTTTTACCCGTAATGGCAACATATTTACATTTTGCTACCAATATTATTTTCATACATTATATTGCTTTGCAGTTTTTTACAACAAAACCGTATGCCTGTGATCCTTCAAGCCTTCCAAAATATCCACCTAGCAAGGAGATGGATGCCAAATTACGTGATGAAGAAGCTAGAAGGTCAGTTTGCTTTTCCATTACGAATGCAAAATTAAAAAAAAATCTATTTACTTCGAAAAATACACCCAACTATATATATGAAATGAAAGTATGTGTTGTTATTCTTTATTTATTAAGTTAAATGTGAATTTATTGGTAGGTTGAGAGCTGTTGGTAAAACAAATGCGGATGGAGTGAAGAAGAGTCGCACTCGTGAAAGACCTGCAAGGGCTATGGCTGCTCCAGAAGCCAATGCTGAGCTCCAAGTAAACATTGATGTATGCCATTGCCAGATAACCTTCTTTTTTTAGATTAATTTTTAATATTAAAATATTAAACAATATTAATAATTTTCTATTGTTTAGAAGATAAACCCAATGAGAAAACAAAAGATACGAACGTAACATTTTAATCTTTGCATAAAAATATTGGTTAAAAAATTAAATGCTAGAATTAGCAATCTACTTTTGATGATTTGTTTATTGTAGCATCCTACTTTCATTTGTTGTATTAAACATTTTACTTTGAAAAATCCACTCAATTTACTTGTGGATTTTCCAAAGTATAATTCATAAATAAGAAATAATAAAGTATAAGTACAATGTTGTAACATAAAGAAATGAAAAATTTTCCGATCGAAATCCAACTTTTGATTTTATTTATTTATTATATTATATTTTTGCAGAGACGCCGATTGATCACACATGCAAATGCAAAGAGCAAAAGTGAAAAATTTCCGCCACCTCATCAAGACGGGACCCTCGGATATCCATTGGGTTCCTCACATCATATGGATCCAAGTTTTGACCCGCCCGATGTCCCATTTAGCTCAAATTTTTCATACGGAAAACCGCCAGTTCAGACGTGGTCTGGACCATTGGCTGAAGCGGGACCCACAGGAGGTCGTATTGGTACTGGTACAAGAAGAAAGAAACATAATCATAATCAAAATCAAAATCAAAATGATTCTTCATCAAAGAATAATAACTAAAACTAAGACTTGACTGGCCGGGAAACCCTTTTACATTTAGAATGAAGAGGTAAAGCTATTTTGTTTATTTCCTTTTCCTTTTCGTTTCTTGTTTTTATTTTTATTTTTTAATTTTTGTCTTATGGGATATGGTGAGAAAGGGTATTTTGGGTACTGTAAATGTTCTTGGTTTTTTTGTTCTTTTGGTGAAGGAGTTTTATAGGTTAGTGAATTTGAAATAAATATATTACTATTGAACAATACTTGATTATTCGACTATATATTAATTGCAATCTATTTTCATGTTTTTAATGTTTAAAGGGTGTGTTACAGTATTAATGATTTTTATTGCGTTAGCAGTTCTTATAATGTGGGTGTGCACATGTCAACATCACCTTGGTATGATTGTGAGATGTTGTAACATTCAGACTTTTTAAAGTAGGTGTAAAAGTATTTGGGAGATTTCGTTAGTCGTTTAAAACTATTTGTTAAGTTAAAATTTTAGGTTAGTTTGTTAAGTTAGCAGGATAAATTTATAGATTTGGACATTAGGAACTGACTTTGTGAAGTCTGAAAGTGTAAGGACTAGATTGCACTTGAAGAAAACTTAAGAGATCTAATTAGAAACTTTAAAAAGAGTATTTTGTAGGAACGTAATAGGTTTCTCTTGTATGTTTCTTTGTTTGTGTGTGTGCGCGCGCAACAGTACACAATGTTTTAAAAATGGGTTTGAACCTGCTCACCGAACCGGCTGGACAGGAAACCGGGGACAAGAGAGGTGCAATCATAATCGATTTCTAGACTGGATCGAAACGAACGGTTTCTTTAAAAACTGGGTTGAACTGGTTGTATCACACCGGTAAAAAATATGTTTTAAAACGGTTTATTGAATTTGTATAGTTGGATTTTATTTAGTCCGTTAAAAAACAACTCATTTTCAAACAAGATTGAACATTTTCGGAGTGTACATAAAGTCACAAATCGAAAGCCAACGTTTACCACACTACCACTGCCAGATGTAGAAAAATTCTTGGTTCAATCGGCGGTCAAATCAGTTGAGACGGAAACCGGATACCAAACCAATTCAACTAAAAAAACCAGTTTTAAAACATTGGTTATACATTTCTTTCTTGTTAGCGGGGTCCAATATGTCGAACAATGCCTATTGGCAACTCCGTGTTGACCTAAGGTCGAAGGGAATGTTATGATGAATTAAAATGACATTTTCTAAAAATTAGGTCAAAATCTCTCTCTCTCTCTCTCTCTCTAGAGAGAGAGAGAGAGAGATCCAGACAATAGGGATAGTTTTTAGGTTGTCGTTCGAGAAATCTAGGCAACGTGTTGGGGGTGACCTCTTTCATGGGCCGTGGGGCATGGCATGGCATGACGGACTTTGTTGGTGCTCGATGAAGATTGAAGCCTCATGAAGTTTTATACAAAAACAACTCTTCTAGCAATGGGCTACACCCTTATTTATACACAAAGAAGACTCTTTGAGAGTCTTACAACATGACAATTATAGCTATATGACACATATGATTTTACTAGACACTATTGCTAGTTTACATAATAATTACACACTTGTTATATAAGACTTTTTATTATTACAAATGACAAAACTCCATGATTACAACCAATAATATGTATTTTATAATTGTCTTCAAACATCATTGCTTACGACTGTTTGTTTGTTGTTACTCTCTCTCTCTCTCTCTCTCTCTCTCTCTCTCTCTCTCTCTCTCATAAAAGCAATACCCTAAAACCACTCTCTAGTCACCCGGTGAAGGTTTACAAAGTTTCTTTTTCTTCTTGTCACCCTTACACCACTGAAGTGCCAAAAATAAAGTTAACCGAACACGACACCTTCCCGATGTACTTATTATTGGGGTTACCTTTCTCCCTATAAATAAGTGTGTTCGTAAGGATTGTAATCACCATATTTTCAAATCAATATATTTGGTGAGTTTTATTCCTTTTCATTTGTTAGTTCTCTTGAATGAACGACATTTGTTATGCGTAATTGTACTTTCATGTCTTACTTATCAACTACGTCTTCTTTTGCTTAGTTAACGTCGATTACCTACTACTTGTGAGTGGAAAGATGCTGTATTTTTCCAATATTCATCAGTGTTAGGTTAAAAGGAAGTAAGATGATGGATTGTAAGAGGAAATTCTAGATCATCAATATTCATCAGTGTTAGGTTAAAAGTAATACTTAGGAGTAAATTCTAGATCAACACGAGTCCAAATCCGTTCTTTTTAATTTTTTTTATTGAAATACCAAAATATAATACTTATATTTATTGAAACAAATGAAATAGGTTAATTATAATCATAAATTTAAGAATTATTTCAATTTTTATTATTGACATTTCCTTTCAACTATAAATGGGGGGTAAGAGATTATAATTCTTTCATACTTAATTTCTTTTCACAAATTGTATCACTTCCAGAAAACAATGTATAATAAGTGTGCAAGAGTGATGCTGTTCTAAAAAAAAAAGTGTGCAAGAGTGAGTTTGAAAAGTCAAATACGTGACATGTAGACAAGAATACTAACTAACGATTGCATGCGAATGTACAACTTTTTCAAAGATAACTAATTCTATACACTTTCCAGGAATAATAGATCTAAAATCATCACAACTCTATGCAGCTTGCATCTTTAGGTTCTTACCGGGTACAAATACAACACTGTCTCTCCCATTTCCACCCAAATCATCGGAATCCAATTCCAATTCCAATTCCTTAATCCTCCTAACAAATGCTGAAAACGAAGGAAAGTTTTCTGGCGAAAAGAACTGAGCCCCCATTCTCTGATAAACAAACACCTCAATTCCATTCCCACCCACCAAATTCTTCCTAATCTGTTCAAAACTCTCACTGCTTCCTGCAATCTCCAAATTCTGACCACAAACCTCAACTCCATTCCTTCTGCAACCATCTCTTATCTCTTCAAGAAGCATCTCAGGACTCGAACACAACTCATTTGGCTCTTGTTCATCCAAAAGATCCATTCCTGGCAATATCATTCTACATGAGTTCTTATGAAATACTTTTATAATTTCTTCGTATCTGTTCACAGTGTTACAAAACCCTGCTGCCACCTCAGCTGGATGGGACCGGGTTCTGTACCATGAGTAGATAAGAGGAAGCTTTCCCGACAGTATGACTGGAGTGTCGCTAAAAGATGAGGCAGCCATTGATAGGATCTTGTCAGCGTGAGATACAAGTTGGGTTGAATACCATGACAGAAAGAAATCCCCATAAGGAGTCTGCCATGATCCTTCTTCTTTGAAGAAGGTGTTGATAATTGGGTGTTGGTTGTAACTTGGGGCGTCGTGTGGACCAGAAAGTCCCCAATTGGGGTTTCCATGATTTTCGGAATGTTTCTTGAGATTGTTCATCATGTTTTGATCGTAACATTGAAACTCCCCTGCTCCTAAACCAATTTTATTCTTGTTTTGATCTTGTTGAGATGGGTATCGAAGCTCACCATCTGGGCCCATGCCAATTGTTATACCCTGTAAAAATTCATCGATCAGTAACAATGGCATTGACAGAAAGAATATACTCATTCATCGATCTTGATTTGAGGTTAAGAAACGGGAGCTTGTTGAACTACTTACTGTGATTGTGAAACCCATGAATGGAGAGAAGGACGTCTTGAAGCTCTCCACGAATCCTTGATAGACATTCATGGCGGTTTTGCCATGAAAAACAGGAAGATCGTCAACACCAAAAGACAAACAGTCTTTATAACGCTTCCCTGAGCGATCAGCAAAGAAGATATCCGGTTCAGATTCCCCAATTTCAGAAACCCATTTAGGGAGGTGGATGTTTTCTTGTTTACAGCCATGGAAGCAGAGGGTAACATGAAGCTTAAGACCCGCTTTTTGAATCATGTCTACAAGAGTAAGGTAGCCTGACCATTGGTATTTTCCCATTGCTTCTTTCTCTGCAACTCCCCACCAAATTGGGAGCTCTACACCTTCGACTCCTAATAACTTTAAAGCCCTAAGTCCTGCTGATATTGCTCTTGAATGGTTTATTGAGTGGCAATCGGAAACTGAATTCATCGGTAATCCAACGTATAACTTCACGCCATCTTTCTGCTTATTCAACAAGTATCCATGGATCAAAAATGGCTCATAAAACAAATCTAATTATAAGTTTTGATTAACTGAGTGAAGCAAGAACTAGAAGGATTTCATTTCGAAATACCTAAGTAAAAGGTAACAAACAATCTCCGATCAATCAAAACTAATTTGAAAACAATTAAAAATTAAGAACTTACAGGTTTCGATATGGCGTTATCCTCGGAAGCATTGATGGATGCTGCATGTTGAGAATGAGAAATAGAAATAGATCGAGTTGCAACCCTAAGAGACACATTAGGGCATTTGGTTATTTGACAAAAACCAATCCGCGACTTCGTAGAAGATGAACAAATGATCATCGGAATGCTGTTATTGTTGTTATTATTGCCTAATTGAGAAAACTTGACCGGAGAAGCTCCGATCAACGACATTTCCATGTTGGTTTTGAAAGTATTTGGCGTAGTGGATAAAATTTGAAAGAGATAGAAAGTTTTGGATAAAGGAAATTGAGGGTTTAAGATGATTTAAATTGGGGGAGAAGGAAGATGGATGATATATAGGCCAAACAGAGGAGGAAAGTACAGTCAGTGTGCCACGTGTCGTGCTCTTATAGAAGAAAAAGTTTAGGCCGCATACTCGTTCACGTTGTTTAACACTTGTTTCGAAAATATGCATGCATAGTTGTGTAATTTGTGGATAATATTAATGTAGGGTCGATATAATTTTTTAAAATTCTTTTATCGTATGTTATCTATACTTGTGATTAAGATGTTTACTTCTTTAACTTTTAATAATTTAATATTATGAAAGTCTTTTTTCTTTTTTAAAAATCCATTATTTTGTTTAACTATTTGTATTTTTACTAAATGCTATTCAAATATACTAAACTTAAGTACCTTTTTAACATTAAAAGTTTTGGTTGTATGCAGAAATTTATGTGTTCTTTTATTTTGATGCAGTTGCTTTTGTAAATTACGATTTATAATGTTATAGTGGTTATTATATAGGGAAATTGAGAAATCTAACTTTTTTTTTTGTTAATTTTTAAAAATATATATATATTTTTTTTCAAAATGACCACTTGGTCCGGAATGGAACATTCCAAACCCGATTTAATATTCGTTAACGGGTCAATAATTCCAACCCGGTAATTTGGTTATCCTATAAATACTCT